GCACAACCCTGAAATCGAATTTTAGATCGATCAATTTTTAGCCGACATAATCTAAATGAGAATTGAATATCTCGTTAATAAGAACTCAACGATATAAAGACAAACGAAAACGGACGTCGGATGACAAAGTTATGAATTTTTAACGGACTTTATTTGTCTAAGCCTGTTAAAATATAACTTTAAAAATAAAGTCAAAATTAGCCGTTAGAGTCTAAACAAAAGTTGTAGATTATGTCACCACCTATGCGTGGATATAAAAAACATCAAAAGCAGAGCTCGTATGCGAAAGTTACGGAATTTCGAAGTTGAGAATAGGCTGATGTGAGGACTGACACGTGGTCGAATCCTGGCCCACACTTTCTCCCCACGGTCTCGCATGCGAAGCTGACACCTGCCCCCTCGCACGCACATCGTAAGGCTTTGAACGCCTCCCATACTGAGTACGCCCACCGTACTCCGAAGTACGCCACACGCATGCGCAACCCCCCAGCCTCTAAATAGAACTGTTTTTTTACATTTCTCTTCACACCTTTCCCATTCTTTCTCTCTCAATTACTCCTCTTAACCCCTCCCATTCCCTAGTACTTCCCAAGTGCTAGAGGTGAGTCTCGGAGCACCAGAAGGCTCCGAGAAGAATAACTTGAGGCTCAGAAGTTCTGCCCCCGCAGAGCCCGGTTCCTAGCTAAACCCCATTGTAAGTGAGTTATGCTTACGCTACTTTAAGTATAGCTTATGTTTAAGTTTATTATCGTTATTATGAACCTATAAACAATATATGTGCTAATTATAATACCTTTTAACAACTCGCGATACGGGGAATCTGGTTTGAAGGGCCGCATAGTGTTGTTGGATTTCAGAACAGCTTAAATGACCAAATGGTCCTGCCCTCCGGTGTTTCATGTATGGCCCCTGTTTTTACATAGTAGTTGAAAAGTATTTTTAATACTTGTATAGTACAAGAAAAAAAGTATTGCTCGTAGACCTTGAGTTAATCTAGACTAATAATTAGTCGCAATAAAATTTATACTAAAATCTAGTGATAATGATACTAGGTTTTGTCGAAGGAAAATAAAATTGTTAACAGCGAAGCGTTGCCCGAGTTTGGAGTCATCACTTTAACAAGTGAGTGCATAGTTACTTTCATCTTACACATAGATATGAAGTATTTAATATAAATTACGTGCTATGTGTGCATATTATCTGTGTACTTGATATTTATGTTGGATGAACAAAATATACATGTTTTACTTGATTTAAACTGTATATGTATTTTATACCTATAATTATGATGGGTAAAGATGGGTAGATGATGAAATAAATGATGAGAGGCCTCAATGTTTACGATGATCCAGTCATACAGTGGAGTATAGATGACGACAACAGACTATTCTAGACAGTCCAGTGGAACGTTAGCAGGCTCACAACTTGTAGGTGTTTATTTGAACTATATATTCACCAGGTGTACTCCGTCCCCCTCATGGTTGCCTTATTTGATATATATTGTTGAATAATCCCCTAAGCAGTGTTGTCATCCCTATAAAAATCCTTAGGCTAGGTCCCTTAATTTAGATGCTTTAGGGACAGAAAGTGAGGATGACGGGAATGGGTAATCGGGTTGATTGATTTGATGAAATTAATAAACTTAATTATTCTGGGTTGAAAACCATATGTGCTCACCAGGCTCCCAAGCCTGATCCACTCAGTTTCTTGTATTACAGGTAGTGGCACAAGAGCATAGATGTGGCGATCTGATGAGAGATTATGGGTTATAGGCCAGTGGAAATAAATAGAATGTTGTAAGGCCTATGTTTTTCTGTTTATGCTTTTGGTCTGTATTAACGATGACATCCCGAGGTTTTTAATATAATGAAAATACATTTCTTCGGAAATGATTTCATAAATTATTTATCATATTTTTGGGAACAAATTCCGCAACATATTAATCAAAAGTATACTCTGATTTTCAAATAAAGCATACACAAATCGGTCTTTTCTGGCTGTGAAATTGGGGATGTCACAGTTGGTATCAGAGCATTAGATTAAGCGAACTAGGAATTTGTAGGATTTCTAGACTTAAACTTAGAATGCTAAGCGATGATTGTCAGATGAGTGTCTGATATATTTTAGACACGAGCACTAGCTTATTTTAGGAAATATACCTAAAATGTTTTTATGTGCTAAATGATTTATGTTATAGCTATAAAGATGCCTTATATGCTATTATTTGATTGGATCTATGGTCTGTTTACGACCGGATCTGGAAAGTTTATGTGTTCAGAATTCTTAACGTATAATTACAGTATTAGAACTAGCATGTAACTTTTCGGAGTGACAATGAGGATTTAAACGTCTATCAAAAATAAAGATCTAAATTCGCCTACTTTGGTGTATAAATCAACCTGGTGAGAACTTGAAGAGGATTAGGAAACGCTAATGGGAACCATCAGTCTGAGCCACGAGTGATTGAGCGTGCGCCAGAACACTACTACAAAACGAGTCTAATGCAACCTTTTAACAATAGTTGCATTTGATTATAAAGAAGATCATGTCCAGCAAAAAGGTTGCATTAAAAGATTTACTGCAACCTTTTTTGTAAAAGTTGCAAGTTATATTAAAAATTGAAATTTTTTTTAAAAAAAGTTGCAAATTATATTTAACATTGTAACTTTTTGCTAAAAGGTTGCAAATTTTATTAAAAATTGCAACTTTAATTACAAAGATTGCATTGTTAAAACATGAATGCAATTTTTAGTGTAAAAGTCCATGTTTTATAATTTTTCAATTTAAATTATAAAATAAAATAAACAAAATTTAATTAAAACACTTCTATATATAACTTAAATATAATATCCAAGATATTAATTATTATTATTATCAAATAAACTCAAATATTGTGTGAATTTCAGAAAAATATTTATGCCAACGTTTTTTGACATAATGGTGCACTTACCTATCCACTTAGTAAACGAAGTTAGACTTGGAGGACCTGTTCAATATAGCTAGATGTATTTTATGGAAAGATACTTGTGCATGTTGAAGTCATATGTGCGAAACAAGAGTCGTCCAGAGGGATCCATAGTAGAAGGATATTTGATTGAAGAATGCTTGACTTTTTGCTCACGCTATATGCATGATGGAGTAAAAAAAGACTTAATAGGGGTTCAAAAGATGTCGATGATATGGATGAAGAACATGAGTCTAGTGGGCCAATATTTGTCAATAAGGGTCATCCTATTAGAGGTAAAAAGCGAAGAAAAGGGAAGCTTATAACTTTAGATCTTATTTTAAGGGAACAAGCACATCGTTATGCCATATTCAATTCTGATTGTGCACAAGTTGATGAATATATCAAGTAAGTAACCAATTTATAGCATCTCATTTCTTCAAATTAAATGTATTATATAACTTAATTCACATTTAATTTTCTTCTGTCTACGTAATGATGCAGTGAGCATAAAGTTTATATTGACACTCAACCACGGAAAAGTCGATGGGCACGCGCCCAAAACCATAGTCATGAGTTCGCCAACTGGTTAAAAGAGAAAGTTAAAAGTAATAATGTTCCAGATCATATTTTTTAGATTGTTAAGGGTCCTAGTCCTACTTCAAAGAGATATCATGGGTATTATGTCAATGGATATAGGTTTCATACCAAACCACGAGATGCTAAATGCCATACTCAGAATAGTGGTGTTTCTATTACGACTTTAACTCCTAGCTTTGCAAGTTCTAGAGACAAAAATCCAGCTGTGGGGAATGTTGACTACTATGGTAGAATTTTGGATATACTTATACTCGACTATTGGTCGCAGTTCAAAGTTGTTTTGTTTCATTGTGAGTGTTACCAAGTAGAGAAAGATGATTATGGATGACATGTGTTAATTTCAACAAGTTTTGCTCTTCAGACGATCCTTTTCTCATGCCTTCCCAAGTAAACCAGGTGTGCTACGTAGCAAACCCAATAGAAGACTTTTTGCATTATGTTCTCAATAGGGTTCCTAGAGATATCTATGACCTCGAAGATGAAAGTAGTGAAACTATTGGTGACTTGTATTGGTCTGAGCCTAATGAAAATAGGTTCAATTCTTTTGCACAATTTAGTGAACATGAGATTCAATTGTCAAGAAACGATATGCCTCCTCTTGTAGTTGATGCAAATACAAATTTAGATGGGGCTGATGAAGCTAACAGTGATAGTGGCGGCGATTCTGATTATGACGATACATTATGGGATTGGATGGAAGCAGATGAAGACGAGGCTCATTGAGATACTAACAATAATATTAATATTTACTTTTCTTTTACATTTTTGTAATAAGTTAGTTTAATGCTTAAAACTTTTTGTGTTTAGGTAAATTATTTCATGTCATTTTATGCATTGAATAATAAGCAAGTGATAATAAGTCAATACTTTGTGAAAGCTTAGTTTTGAAGGTAACTGAAAAACAAAGGTTTTTTCTATATTTGATAGATTTTATTTTATTATGTGATGTTTATCTTGGTGGAATAATTTTCATGTTTTTTATTTTTTTTACCTTTTTAGATTTTGAGCAAGAGGTGCATGTGTGTTTGTTTTGCAGGTTCCTTTCGATTCAATTTAATCGTAAGTACTGGAGTGGCATTGTGCCTTATTTGTCAGGTTTTTGTTTCTTTTTTTGATTTAATTTTATGATTGTAGGAAAAAATTACATGTAAGTGATACTATAATTGTAGTATTATGTATTTTGAACTTAAATTGGTAATTCACTTTTGAGCAGGCCGATAATGGGAAAACAAAACAAGCAAGATCAAAGTGCACAAAAAGAAATGAATGATTATGAAAAGAATAGACTTTTGAGGATTCAAGAAAAGCAAGCAAGACTAAAAGATTTGGGAGTTAAAAGCATTGAAAATTCTTTGACAAGTTTGGTAGAAAGTCAAAAACCAAAGAAAAAACAAGTGAAACCAAACGTATACCAGTGCTAGAGATTCAGACTATATTCCTGATTTGGGTGATGATAATGATGGAGATTACCACAAAGTTGCTAGAAGCGTTGAAGTATCCAAAAAGGTAATCAGATTAGCAAATCATTAATTGTTTTATTTTGATGCTGATCTTCAATAATGAAAAGTAAATTTGTTACAGCAACATCGTCCATAATATATTGCACCAATGTCCATGAATAGACTTGCTAATTTAACAAGGCAACGTCGGGTAATTGCTCCAAATGTCTTGAATATGTATCCATTAGTTTTGAATGCAACAAAAGAAAAACAATCTAGATCAAAGACTAGTATGGGTGACTTAATCTTGAGGAATAAATGACCGCAAAGGGGAAGGGAGGTATTCAAACAAAATGCGGAAAAACATAATTGTATCATAAGCGGACCAAAGAGACAATTGGCTCTTGTTGATGAGGATGAGGATGATGAGATATCTCAAGGTAGTATCTTGTTAATCTAAATGTTTATTTAATTAATGAGAAATAACAAAGTCATCTCATAAAACTACATGTTATATTAATTTACATTTCTACGATTTTTGATGTTATTGTAGCTGATATGGAGCAATTTGTTTTGAAAGATGATGTCAATGAAGGAGGTATTGTGCAATGTGAAGGTACTTCTGTTTAGTTTAATGAATATTTCATTTTTTGTTATATTTTTTTGTAACTGCTATTTATTGTTGGTATTATATTTATTCATTAATTAGAAGATGATGTTGATCAAAATGATGACTATGAAGACATGGAGCATTTGAAATATGCAAATATTGAAAATGAGATTGAAGTTGATGATAGCGAGGACGATTTGGGAAATGAGGATGATGTACTTTTTGAAGAACAATTAGAAGAGCCCCAATTAGAAAAGGAAACAGGTTCAACTTCACTACTTGATCATGCTTTTGGTTTATCATAAATTTTATATATATATATATATATATATAGATATATATATATATATATATATATATATATATATATATATATATATATATAGATATATATATATATATATATGTTAGAACGAAGTTCTAGTCGGATCAATAGATTTTAAGCAGAAACACAATTAAAGACGTAATGAAGAACACAGGAATGGTTTAATGGGTGTCGAATGATTAAACTTTAACACCTCAGAAGAGCTCGATTAAGAACTTCGACTGTAGAGGTGTTTAGGGTTACAAAGCAATAATAACTATAATCACATTAGTTTCTAAGGCATACATGCATGCACTATTTATAGCTTAACCCTACTCAATAATCATGGATGGACAGGCCCAATCCGGATACACAAAACTAAGCCCATGACGCAATATAAAATACCCTACAATCTCCCCCTTTGCGTCAATGGAGCCGAAAGCTCAGTTCGGTTGAGCTATAGAAGACTTCTTGACAGTCTTGAACACCTTCGGTATGATGGCCAAAAGAGTATGACGAAAAGTGATATACCACCGAAGCATGTTCGTGAAGTTCTTCTTGTCTGCCTCTGAGTTCTGCTTGCACCGATGGATGATACTAATTATGTGCTCTAAGCAGTCCGTTGAGAACAGATGTTTGTCAACAAGAGCGAAAAGAAATATATTGGCTTCGCCTCTTGTGAACATCACCATGAAATGTGTAGAATCAATTTGGCCCATCTTCATTTTATTCGCAGCTACTTCATGGATATAAAAGCCAACATCCTCTTTAGATGATCCTGGATCGGCTCATATTCTTTCGCATTGGTGAGCAGTATGTTAAACAAAAAGATCCAATCATGAGGATTCAAGTTTGGAAGATCTGGCAGGGATATAACCGAAACCGAGTTTGCTGAACCTCGAGTTATTTTGAAATTGACATTAATAAACTTCCCTGCAGGCGAAGGTTTCAACACCTTGACAGTAATAATCTTCTGTGAACTCCATGTCAGGTACTGAGGCTGGACAAACTTGAGATAAAAATCGATAAGTTCACGATCAACTTTAGGGTGAGGTGAGGGAACTTGAACAGTCGAATCAAAGCAATGAAAAGTAAATGCCTTTCGTGTTATAGGCATATCAAACTCTGAGTCCCTTGAATTTTCACAATCAAATGAAGCTACAGGTTCCAGCCAGTATACACTTTGAAACTATATTGCCTCTTTGATGAGCGTTTCTCTAGTCCAAAGAGGAAACAAGGCCTTCTTGCAATTTAAGGCATATTGCTCTTCCTTGTTCTTTCGCTCCTTTTCTTCTGCTTCCTTCGCAACCCGAAGGGTTTCATCCAATTCCTTATCCCTTTTCTTTCATTTCAGGGCTTCGGCAATTGTTTCGTCTTCTTCATCACTATCATCAGCCAGTCCCTTCTTCTTATCTTGATTACCAAAACCCGAAGCTTCATTACCCTTCGGTTCGGTTTTGACAGTGACTTTCGGTTGAGTCGTTTGAACACCTTCTCCCCCTTGTTTTGGAGGTACGAATCTCTCCGAAACACCCTTCATTTCATGTAAGAGTGCAAGGGCAGGAAGAAGCTTGGAAGTCAGATGATTCCTGATGGTCAGAGTAAGTATCGGATCATGAGCATTAAGAAGATTGGTTAGCATACTCTTTACATCACCAGCACAACTCCTGAATACAACTCGCTCCGTTTTCAACAATGAAATCTCCCTTTCAGCTTGAGCCAATTGAACTTTCTGAACTTCAATAGTAGAGGCTTGGCGTACAAGATCTTCCTTTAAGGCACTCTCCTTTACTAAATTAGTCTGGAGTGTGTCAAGGCAAGAAGTCACTGAGCTAAGTAGAGAAGTGTTCTCAGCTTGAATGGAAGAATGAACATTCTCAAATTTAGCTTGCTCCTCTTGAAGTGACTTGGATAAAGAATCAACTGAAGCGTTCACTTTAGTTGCATTTAAATCAGCATGACCTTTGAGGTATTCGAGAAAAATCTGAGAACTGTGAACAAGTTCTGCAACTTCAGTAGTGGCCTTCTTGCAAGAAGAAGTGGAAGCTTCAACCGCCTTTGTTGATTTGTCTATAGCTCAAGTATATTTCTCAAAAGCGGTGTCCAGAAAAGCTTTGAGCACAACATCGTTATATGTTTTTGTAGAGGCAAGCAATTGATGAAGTTTCTCATCTAGACTCTGCACTTGTTGTCTGGTGACAGGAGCCTCGTCATCTTCGTCTATTGGAAGCCGATAAGGACTGTAATAAGTCGAGTCAAACTCAACATTATCACCACCGAGAGTATCACCAGAATCGGTTGAGGGTGAGGGTGAAAGAGGTTTGGAAGTAACAGGAGGTTCGGTTTCAGTATTTGCCCCCGTATCAGATACGTTGACGTTTACTGGAGGTTCGGTTGTTGTGGTGGTAGGAGTAGTTGTGGTAGTTGCGTATGAAAAGATAGGAGGTGGTAAAGGAGTTGTAGAGATTGGTATGGTACTAACTGGTGGTGGTGGTGGAATAGAAGTTGTGGTTTGAGATGTAGTAGGTGGTGGAATGGGAGCAACCGAAACTGGAATAGTGGTTTTTGGTGGAGATGGAGGAGGAGTGGAAATCTTGTCATTAAGTGGTTCAGTTGGAGTTGGAGAACGAGGAGGTGTATTACCTCTCGGTGAGCCATGATGCTGAACTTCCTCTTCCTCATCTGCTGATCGGTCCTCATCATGGTCAGAGCTTGAAGGAGAAGGATTTTTGGATTTCTTTGCCATCTTCTTAATCTTCTTTGGAGCCGAAGAATCACCCTTTTCAGCCTTTCACTTTTTAGACTTGGCAGGCTTAGACGAAGGACCCTCAGTTTTCACTTTCTTGGTATTTGCTTTTTTGCCTCGGTTGGCTGGCTTCTCCACAGCTTCTAAAGCAGCTTGCTGTTCAGGAGTCAGTTCTCTCGGTCCTTTGGGAGGAAGCTTTCGGTAGTCTGCCATCACTTTACTTTCGGCTGACACACATCTATACATCGTTTCCGGAATAGAACCATTGTGGGAGAATTTTGTGGCATCTGAGAAGATGATCTTCTTCGTATGAAAAGTAGCCACAGAAGAGACCAATGCATCCTTCATGACTGGAATATGCAAAGTATAAAAGGCCCTGCGTGTGACGATGGTCCAGAAACGTCCACAAGAAATCTCAGAATGTCTCGTCGAAGTGTTGAGACTTTGTACCAATTGCGACCAAATGATCGACCCGTAATCGAGAATAATTCCATTGTAGAGACCATAGAGAATGGTCAGAAAACCCTTACTGGTACCATCTGACCCAGCAACCCTCTCTGCTAAACCCTTGTTGAGAAGAGTAAGCAACCCATTCCATTGTGGCGGCAAACATGATTTCTTAATCTTCGTCACTGTGGTAAGAACATCAGTGTATCCCATCTCGTAAAGCATTGTAAACAGTTGGGTTGTGGTTATGAAATCGGGAGAGATAACAGAGGCATCGACAACAAGCTTTAACAGGGAACAGAATCGCCCTTTCGAAATTGATGCCTTGTACGAGAAGATTTGAAAGTAGATCCTCTCCTTGTTCTTGTCATAGGTTGCAGTAGAATAGACTTGCGATAGTAGAGACATTGGGACAGATTCCACCTGTGTGAGTGCGATAACCAGAGGAGAGTATTTGAGGCATTCAACAACTTGGAGCATGGACGAATCATACAGAAATGGGTTCAGTTGAATGATCATGTTCTGATTGGGTTTGAGCACGAGCAATGAAGAAGAAGCAGTTTGATCTTGAACAGATGAGGAATCCGCCATTGTTGAGGTAAGGAACAAGATGAACAGTTGCAGATCGCCTTGTGTATTGAGAGAATTTGAAGAAGGTAAGAAGGTACAATATGTGTGAGAAACCCTTTATATACCGTTGCCAGGAGAGAGAAAGAATCTTCGTGATGATGATACGATCACTGAAACGTCGCCTGAAAAAGCGTGATGTGACAGCTTGGTTTCCCCAGATAGACGTCATCAAGCGTGGGTTTAGGAACCGTTCAAATTCACGCGCCTAAAATCTTATCCACATATCGTCTTTTCAAATTCACCTTCGCTCCAGATGCGATAATAACCACTTTCGCGCCTAAACGAAACTTCAAACGAGCCATAAGAAACATAAACCAGAATTGTGGAAAATCACAAAATATTTTCGTGCAAGAGTGTGCCAAAAATTAAGAAATAAAGCAAAATGTGTATAGGATGTGAGTGATGTCTGTTAGAAGACATAAAGCAGATGATCCCGGGCATGAATCTCTTCCTTCAAAGTCAAGAGAGACTTGAAGTGCTTGCGTGGTTTCCCGAGAAAATACGATCGAGTGTTTGTAAAGAAATACCGAAAGGCTTCTTTTAAATAATAGTCTAAGGGTGGCTTATCTTCAACCAAACATCGATTCTTAACATAAGACCGAACGTTGGATGAAGTACTTGTGAGACCGATGTGGTCTGTTGAACAAGTAGGTTGGATATAATTTGTTGTGACTAAAGATGTTATAAAAATCTCAAAAACAAAAACAAACTGGATCTTTTTGGGAAGAAATGCCGTGGTGTTAGACAATTTCATAAAAGACCACTCAAAAATAAAATGAGATTTCCTTAGGTAACAAGTAAGATCTTGAATATAAAGATTCACCGTCAATTCATTGTTGGTGTTGGATTTTGGGTCTCACTTAGCACGTCGTGTACGTATCTAAGATCATAAACACAGATTTTATGCAACCATAAACCTCAATGGTAAAAGCTGAGAGTCTCAAGGGTTACAGTGTTGAACCAAAAGTTGATGGAGAATGTAAAGGAGGTGGTTAAGGAACCGAAAGTACCTCTGCTATATAATCGTGACAAAGCATAAAACTCTTAACTCATTTGAGAAGAGTAAGGTAGCTCATGACTTGAGTGGATTTACCAGCCTGATTGGGAAGAAACGATAGGTATAAATCGATTCATTAAGGCCTTGCTCTTAGTCTTAGAGGCTTCGGTCGACATGCAAC